GCTGCCTTTTTTCAGTGCTCTTACTGAGCCCTGTTAACATGTTCACTCATTTTAACCTTTTGAACTATTGGATATCATAGTCAAATTATCCACCATAAGGAATCAAAGCAACACAGTCATGATAACAGTTAATTCTCAAGTAAAATCAGGTTGGAGCTCTCATTTGCCACACATTTAATTTACATGTGTATATCTTAGCCCTCAGAGTAAAACAACAATGAATCAGCCAGTATTGGAAGATACAGATTCTGAACTATATCAGCATTCAAGTAGAAAAACATGAGACACTAGAGAAAGTGTTACAATCATGCTGTATCAACTTAACACTACACATAGATCTGAGCACATGTTCTGGCTGACATACAGATTTTATCCTTTCTGACCTTCTGTGCTGATCTCTGAAATTGTGGTTGTTTCATGTCTTGATGAGGGCTTCATCAAGATAAAAAAAAAGAGTGCTAAACTAGGACAGTACTGAGCAATTAGTTACACTATAAAATCTTATCCTAATGCCAGGTGTCAGTGGCTCACGCCTGTAATCCTAGCTACTCAGGAGGCTGAGATTCTAAGGATCTCCATTCAAAGCCAGCCCAGGCAGGAAACACCATGAGATTCTTACCTCCAGTAAACCATTCAGAAAACTAGAAGGGCCGCTGTGGATCAGCTTGCCTTGAGCTGAAGAAGAGCTACAGTGCCCAGGCCCAGAGTTCAAGCCCCACGACCGACCAAAAAAAAAACCAAAAACTTATCCTGTTACTGCATAATAGAGAATGTGCTTGATTGGGTAAATGACTTTTGCAATTTCTTTATTTGTAAGTTGAAGTTAACTGCTCAGTATTTTGGAAAGTTAAATGAGCAATAAAATAAGCAGTACTAGTAAAATATAATCTTTTAAAAATTTTAAGTTAGCTATAATCACTGCTAATCATCGTCACATTTTGCCTAATGTAGAAATAGTGGAGGTGAAATTTTCTCTTCTGCTTTTTTAAAAGTTAAATGTAGGTAAAAATTAAAAATGTAAATAGTTGTACAAAGGAGTTTCAGTTCAACATTTCAGTGTATGAAAAATCACATCTTCATCAATGTCACCCCACCCCTCTATTGTTTTCCCAGAATGAAATTTTCTTTTTTTTCTGTTAAAATTATTAAGTTCTTTTTTAAAATTTGCTTTTATTATCAAGGTGATATACAGAGGGCTTACAGTGACCTACGTAAGGTAGTGAGTACATTTCTTGTCCAACATTGTTTACCTCCTCCCTCATTTTTCTCCCACTTTCCCTCTCCCCCAACACCCCCTCTCCAGACTGTAAAGTTCATTTCCAACATAGTGTCTTGTGGGTATTGCTGTTGCATTGGTTCACCTTTATCCTTTGTCGCCTCATTTTGTGATTCCCCTTCCCTTCCCCAAATCAGAGAAGCAGATGAAACAGACTGTCTTTTCAGTTCTTCCTTACTCATACCACAACTACTCCTAATTTTTTTTCTTTATCTACATTAACTCTCAGTTATTATAAGGTAGTTAGTTTCCCATTTTTTTTCTAACCATTTCCTTTTCTCTTTCCTCTGTTAAGATAGTTGTAGTTCTGGCTTATGAAATATGATGATTTTTAAAACTACTGCAGAAAAATCTCAAGTATATTAGAGTGTTTCATTATGTTTTATGAAAGCAGAGATTTTCCTGAATATATTCAAATAAATCCATAAGAAAGCTAGATACCCTTGTTATTATAGATCCTTGTTATTATTTTAATTTTACTAATGAGCACTTGAAAATATTTGAACTGATTTTTATTTGACACAAACTTTCAAGTTTTTTAGCAGTTTATTTTGGATAATTTACTATTACCAAAAAGTAAGAAATAGAATCATCTGGTCTTATTACTGGGTTACTCAACTGTGACATTCATCTTGCTCTGTACGGCAATCTTCATTTCCTCAGACCATTGAGCCTTTTACTTTCCCTTGGGCTTGTGAAGTGACTTTTGTGTCTGGTGACCCAGTTCCCAAGATTGAAAGAAATGCGAGGAAACTATTTCACAGAGTCCTGCCACATCACCAGCATATAGGCTTTTCAGAATCCTACCAGCTTTAGTTTCTGTGAAGCCCACAGTTTACGTTCATGTTTTACGCACATGTGATTCACTAGCAGTCATAAAGCACAAGTGCATAAATTTTTGTGCATAACAATTTGTGCTATCATAAATAGCTCAGAAGAAAGAGGCTTGAAAAGCAAATTAAAAACCATACTATTGTAATTTGACAAGTATGGCTTGACATTAAAATAATGCACTACGCAGAAAGTAAAACAAGTTCTTGATAATTACTGTCCTTCTGTTAATAACAAAGTGATTATTTAAGCAATGTCTAAAAACTACAACTAACAAATTATTTTAAAAAGCAAATCTAGAGCTATCTCATGTAGAAATACTTATGTAGTAAAAATGGAAAAATATTTTAAAAATCTTTTCATCTAGTCTAACTTGCAGTTTGATAAATAAAGTTAGACATTTCACAATGGTCACAGAGACTTATGCATAGGCTGAGTCATTTTAAATCCTTAAACAATCTTATTCCCTACTTTGTGAGCATGACCTTAGTTTCATTAAATATATTCAAGTCTTTACTGGCATGTTTTAGCTCATGTGGTCTGGATGGCTTTTACAAGACATAATTGTTGCCTGCATCTTTTTCCTCATCACCTGCCTATCGGTGTATGACAACCATAGGGACAAGACAAAGCAGGCTAGGCCAGATGAAAGACAAAAGAGAAATGATAACTTTCTTTACATCTTACTAAATATTTGTGGCTTCAAGTATCAGCAAAGACTGAAAAGCAAATATTGTTTAATGAAGATTTCATTCTAGAGGGAGTAGAATCATCAAATGCCTAAGAAATAAAACTGTCATTCTCCTCTGAGATTTTCTTTCACATCTCCCTCGTCTTCTCTGGAAGATATTAGGATTTCTGTTTTTACTTTTTGTTTCTTTTCATGTTTTATCAGTTTTCCAATGTTTTTATAATAAATTATATTGGTTTATGGTATGAGTCTAAGGAAAAAAAGGTAAATTGGTTCTTAATTTGTCTTTTGTCATAAGTTACAAAATAATATATTGATGATTGTCATCATTCCTGATTTCAATTTAAAAGCACCTTACATCTGTAATCCTAGCTATTCAGTATGTTGAGATCTGAGGATCTCAGTTTGAAAATGGTCAGAGCAGGAAAGTCTGTGAGACTCTTATCTCCAATTAACAACCCCAAATCCAGAAGTTTAGCTGATGCTCAAGTTGTACAGTGCCAGCCATGAGTGGAAAAGCCAAGGGGCAGTGCCAAAGCTCTGAGCTCAAGTCTCAATGTGGTACTAAATAAATAAATAACTGAAAGTCAGTGCACTAAATTTTCCAGTCTGAATGTAAATAATCCTCAAAAAATCTTACATAAAGTGTTTTATAATATAAAAAAATACAACCAGAAAAAGGATCTATAAAATATGATATTTGTTTAAAAATGAAAATAGAGATTAATGACATTGACTTAAATGATACATGCAAAATTGTAAACATCTAATACAGGTAAAAGTGCAAACAATACTCATAGAACAGTTTTGGGTGGCCATTGATTAGATGTATTTCTAATTGACATGCTCTTCAATTATGTAAATCAAACATGCTGCTGTTTCAAGGTGAAAGCAACCACATATCCAGCAGGCCATCTGAAAACTACATAATTATCCAAGTTTTCCTCTTTTTTACATTTTTATTTGTTAAGCTTCACACTATGAAAGATTTCCCTGAATTTGAAATTTTTAGAAATGAACCATGATGCTATGATCTGAATCACAACCCGCCTTCTATGCAGATGCCACTTCACAGTTGTTACTTCATGAAAATCTCCCCTGGAATAGTCAGTGAGATTATTCTGAAATATTCCTGCAACTCTTGATTATATTTCAAGAAGCACAAATAAAAGTTGAGTATTTTCAAGGGACTGAGAAAGAAAAGAGGAATGGACAGTCTAGACAATTTCTCATTTTTTCTGTTCCATACTGTCTCTTTCTGAAGTGTTGTACTATATGCATGCTACATTTTCAAATAAATCATTCTTGGGTGGAGCCAAACTACCAAAGAGTGAACATAGAGGAATCTTAGAACAAGAGCAGAAATGAAATGACAATGACTCAACCAACATTACAGTTGTGGAACTCATAGGACTATTTTAATAGAGCTCCTGAAGGCAGATTCATGAAATAGAGAAATGCTCATGAGCTTTTATGTTCTTGTTCCTCAGCTCTATTCTCTGTTTAACACTGCTGTTACAGACAGTGATTCTGAATACTTCTTTTTCATCTATATATAACAACCTTTTTTAAATTTAAACCCCTTCAAGGCTGAGATTTCCTTATCTCCTTAAGCCAGTCAATATGAATATAAATCCAACAAATATCCTCATTCTTTCAGATCTCACTTAATAAATGGTGAACATGTGTGAATAGAATTAACTAGGGACTTTAAAATGCTCAATTTTCAAATGCTGATAAAGGATTTATAGGATATGAGCATTGTATTTTATATATACCAAAAATATTTCTGGATCATTCAACAAATATCAGTTGAGACAGTACTTCACTAAGCATACAGCTTAATTTTGTGAGTAAGTATTCCCCAGCAGGGGAATACTGATAAAAAAAAAATCAGTGTTAAAGAAACAAAATAACTTCTCCTTGAAATGCTTATATAGAATTCAGTTGATGTGCTTCATTCTTTATATCCTTGCAAATGTTATGTTCTGAAAAAGCGTCCAGTGCTATTATCATCCCCGAATGTCCAACTGATTCACATCTCAGGGAAAACAGAAAATGTTTTACCTATGGGAGAGAAAGAGATCTATTCATTGTGGATATGGAAGATGTCTAGCACATTACTAAAAATCAGGTTACTGTACAACTGTGTAATGGTTTCTACGCAATTGCAACTTAATATCTTTTTGTTGTGTTTCCTAGCACAGTGACGCAGTCCATGACCTTCTTCTGGATGTGATCACATGGGTTGGAATTTTGCTCTCCCTAGTTTGTCTCCTGATTTGCATCTTCACGTTTTGCTTTTTCCGTGGGCTCCAGAGTGACCGTAACACTATCCACAAGAACCTCTGCATTAGCCTGTTCGTAGCTGAGTTGCTCTTCCTCATCGGAATCAATCGGACTGACCAACCAGTAAGCCAACCACACTGACATTTGCAAAGAATTTCTCGAATACTTGCGGTATTGAAGAAAAACATAAATGATTAAAAGTATATTTTAATTTTAATTGATAGTAACTTTCAGATCTGGCTCACTGTTACTTTTAAATGCCTTATTTGCATACAGGAGTGGTAATTATATTTATATACATATATATATATATGTATATATATTTTTTAGAATAAACTTTTGGCTTTGCAGGCTATTGTCAGTTGAAACTGCGTCCATAGATTCACTGCTCCTTATTATGAACCTCTGACATCTGAATGCTGTGTTTCTGACAAATGATGGGACCTAGCTTGACACATCATTATTACTTTAAAAAATCCCAAGTACACAATTTAGACTAGGATTCACTCCAAGTGATGTACAGTTTTGGGTTTTGGGACAAATACATGGCACCATATACTCAATCTTTTAAATTCAAAAAGTATTTTAACTGCCCTGAAAATTATGCCTCCGTTGTGCATTTGTCTTTTCTTTCTAAGCCATGGAAAACATTGATTTGTTTAAGTCTTCATAATTTTGTTTTCCTTTTCCAAAATATCATATACTTGAGAACATATACTATGCAGTTTTTTATGTTGGCTTTAATCTATTAGTATTATATGTGTAAGTTTCATGTCTTTTTGTACCTTGCTAGCTCATTTCATTTTCACACTGACTAATATTTCAGTGTCAGTTCCACCACAATTTGTTTATGCATTCACCTATTGAAAGACATCTCCATTGCATCTGAGTTTTAGCAATTATGAAGAGAGTTACTATACATATTTGTGTACTGATTTTTGTGAGGACCACCTTTTCAACCTCTTTAAGTGAATATTAAAAAACAAAATTACTGAGTTATATGGTAATCATGTTAATTTTTGAAAAAAAAATCACTAAATTATCTTTCAACCTGTTTACAGTGCTCTACATTCTCACCAGTAATAAGACACACATTTCTTTAAAAAATTCTGTTTCACAATGTCTCTTAAGATCTTTATATATTTGTTACACATATTTTCATTACTTTAATCATAGAGATGAAATTGTGATAAGCTTAATAATGAGATAATTTACAGAACAGAAGAATATTTATCTAACAAATATGATGGTTATTTGATAAGTCTAAAATGAGGTTATGAATGGAAATAATTTGGAAAGTAGTATAAATGACAGGTCATTTTAGAATATATAAGCTCTTCTCCAATTTTGTTTCATACTTTTGGCAGGTAAGTTCTTTCACCACCTTAAGTGCTAGCTTCAAACTTTGCTGCGCTCTATTTCCTTGTATTGTGGAAGGAAGGAGTGCAGACAAAAAAAAGAGAACAATACTGGTCAACTGGTTTTGGTAAAAACCAAATAGAAAGGAAAACTATACATAATACGTAATGATTTCCATGTGCTTTATTCCCTTTTGATTTTTGTGAAGCCCTTTATTAAGATATTTGTATATGGTAAGTTTACTCTCATGGCTAGAACTGAAAATGAAAGGAAATATTTCATTTTTTAAAATTTTTATAAGATTTATGAGTATAATAAATAATTCATTCATTTAATACTGTTCTCTAGTATATGTCCATATGCGTAGATTGCTTAATAATATAAATGCAATTGAATTCATGTCTATGATGATGTATTCATGATTAATAACTGTAAAGGATATAATTATGGTGAATATATTTTAATTGCTCAGCTCACTTATAAAAGAGCCTCTCTAAAATGTACATATACATGAATAAGCAATCAGAGTACACACATTTCCCCCAAAAAAAGTATAGCTCTAGATTTAAAAAAAATTAATAGTTGAAATTCTAACTCTAAAAGAGCAGTCAATGAAAAATTGTGTCATTTTCAAAGAAGGTATCATTTATCTCTGTCTTAACCTGTAATTCAAATTCCATGTGATTTGCTTTCATTTAGAAATCTTACTTTTATTTTTATTTCCTGAAATTGCATGCGATCTAAAAAACTGGTACCAAATGTTGCATGCAGCATGAAACAAATCTCTGAATCACAAAGAATAGTGATGGATAGAAAAGAGAGGGACTGTAGCTCAGCTTGTCTGTTCTCACACCACTGGTTAGGTGTCCTCTCCTACAACTCATGTAGTGCTGGCCACCTGCTCCTTTTCCACCTCAGTCCTTTGGCCTCCTCATGGTCTCCTTCATTGCCATCCTGTAAATACAATGACACTCACCTGTCCTCGGTCTCACTTCTAAGGGATCATACTAACTAATGACTCCAGTTAAATTTTCTAATTTTTCTCTTCACTTCTAAGGGATCATACTAACTAATGACTCCAGTTAAATTTTCTAATTTTTCTCTTGCTCAATCTTAGTAAGAGCTACAATCTCCTTCTACAATATTATTATTAGTTAATGATATTTAGATTAAACTATTTTCCATGGGTTTAATATTTCTGTATCAGTTTTTTTTAAAGTTTTTTTAATATTTGTATCATGTCAGTATTGGCACTTGAACTCATTTCCTTGCTCCAGGCTGGGGCTCTACCACTTGTGTCACACCTCCACGTACTCCTTTTCTTTTGTAATTAAAAAGTTAAGAGTATTAGATGTTCAGAAAGTGAAAAAGAGAGAGCACTTGCCTAGTATGTCTAATATCCCAGGTTTGATCCTTAACACCATAAATTATGTGGTGTTTATATATGTGTCTATGTTAGCATACCTATGTGGAATTTCCTGAGACTATTTGAAAGTCTTTAGGCAAAATTCAGTAATAATTAGTAATAATGCTACCCCTCTCTCTCTTTTCCTCTCTCCCTCCCCTCTCTTTAAATGCTATCCTGACATGTCATCCATAGCCGTCATGAAAGTTAAAATCAGTTTGCAAAGACAGGGAACACTGAATTCGTTTTTAGCACGTGCGTTTTATCAATCTTAGCTAAGCTATTTGCAGTCCTCCTTCATTACTGCTAGGTTGGTAAGTGGTTTAGTGTTAAAGGCAGTTGATGAATATTCCCTGTGGAAGCTGTTTGACTGACTCCTCTGTTCTTTTCCCTAGATTGCCTGTGCTGTTTTCGCTGCCCTCTTACATTTCTTCTTCCTGGCTGCCTTCACTTGGATGTTCCTGGAGGGGGTTCAGCTGTACATCATGCTGGTGGAGGTTTTTGAGAGCGAGCACTCGCGAAGGAAGTACTTTTATCTGGTGGGCTATGGCATGCCTGCTCTCATTGTGGCTGTGGCAGCTGCAGTGGACTACAGAAGTTACGGAACAGACAAAGTGTGAGTTGATTGTGTGTTTTCTCTCTCCTTCCTTTCTTTTAAAATCTAGTTTCTAATAAAGCTTTGGGTTCTCTTGGTTTGTTACCTAAAGCATTAAATGTAAGAAGTCAGAAACAAAGGATACAATCGATCTAATGTTAGCTTATACGAGTTATGTTAGCCTATGAGTTGAAAAGAAAAACATTCTTGAACCTAAGTGTGACGCTATCTTCAAGCACAACCATTTCTCTACATCATCACTTAGAGTAAGAGGTAAAGATGATATTTGTTATTTTTTTTCAGAGCGCTGAGACATTTGCCACACAAGGAGCTGTGACACATGTACTAGGACAAAACAGAGAGATTCCCAACATTGGTGGCTTCTCACTTTCTTGTTATGTATATGCTAGACATTGGAAAGTCTTTTGCTTTATGAACAGGAAGTCCAGAGGACAGAAACATTTTGTGTTTTTCCTCCTTTAACCTCTGTGTTTTTGTAGGGTGCAGTGATAAATTTTCTCTTTAGCGATATCCAGCACACTGGAAAAAAGAGTGCAGTTGAAATTGCTTCTTGACAATTTATGTCCTGAAAGTGAAAGAAACCCTCCATGGAAGAAACAGAAGGAAGTCTGAGGTAGATCTCTGATGAAAAAACCATAGTGAGGACGTAGACTGGGGAGAGAAAATAAAAGTAGCGAAGGAAGAGAGGTAAACAGACCCTTAGAAAGAGAATCATAGAATTGAAGGTCAAAGAAAGTAAGAGAAAGTTTCAAGTTGACATTTTAAAACCAGTGGTGATTTATGTCAAAGATAATTCAAGTAAGATAAGCACTGGAGAAAAATCATTTGACCTTTGCAACAGCTATTTGGAGAAAGAGTTGGGAGCAGAAGCCAAATTGGAAGGTGTGAAAAGATAAGTTAGTATCCAGAAAGCAAAGTTTTTAAGAATTATGTATACCATGGAATAATTTGACTGAAAAATAGTGATCATATTAGATTCTTTGATTAAAGTAACCAAGGAATTTATGTAGAAAACCAATGCCCTATGGGGTTTGAATGTAGCTCAGTCTTTGAGTACTTGCCTAGTGTTAATAGGGGCCTTGACTCTGTTCCCAGCACTACCAGTAGTTGTGGTTAAAGAGGATGACAACGGAAGCCTGTGTAGGATGAGAAGAAACATGTTTATGAAGAACAGTGGAGAGAAAGTACCTTTCCTCTCACTTGTAGTCAATGTATATAAGCTGAATGATAGGTAAAGATACTCTCGGACCATTGGGAACAAAAATATAGATGACAATGGCACACAAGATTAGGGACACCTTGAATTGATGTTGAAAGTGGTTTCTGAACTGATGATATTGATTTTACAGATGAGGAAATCAGCCACATTAACCCAAAGTTGTACCCATGGTTATATATAGATTTAGACAGCAGCAAACATGTCATAAACCAAGTCACATTGTGTTAAATGTAGGAGGATCCTTTTTACATAGCAAAATGACCTTCTTCTTTGGGGTAAAGAAAGGTAAATTTCTCAGACGCTAAGAAAGGTAAATTTCTAAGCAGAGAAAGGTTCCCATCAAATCTAAGCTGCTGAGCCCTGTTGAATGAATAGCTAAGGTCACGTTGAAGAGTCAGGAGATTTGAAGAGCTTTGAAATGAGCCCTCTGGAAAATGTGTTAAAGAGCCAATTAGACATTAATAAAAAAAATTCCAAGCAGCAGTGAAGGCTCAGGTGAGGTTAGATAACATCAATTTGTCCAAAAGTTAATAAGCCAGGCTTCTGAGAGTCAGCAGCCCTAGCTGACTAGTAATAAAGCAGGTTGCTTCCCAGAAATGAGAATTCTTAAAGATGGAACAAGAAAAGGACAGCAGAATTATGGGAAGCCTGTGAATATAACATATATGTGGTACTTAGGCACCGATAATACAAATAAAAGAAATCTATTTTCCTTCCTTCCTTCCTTCCTTCCTTCCTTCCTTCCTTCCTTCCTTCCTTCCTTCCTTCCTTCCTTCCTTCCTTCTTCGTTCCTTCCTTCTTTCCTTCCTTCCTTCCTTCCTTTCTTTTTCTCATTTGAGCACTGATGGTTCATGCCTGTGCTCTTGACTCCTCACCAGGCTGAGATCTGAGGGCTGTAGTTCAAAGCCAGCCTAGGCAGGAGAGTCCAGGAGACTCTTATCTTCAATGAACCATCAAAAATCTAGAAGTAGAGCTGTACAGTTAATCGCTAGAATGCTAAGGGCACACATAATTATATGTAAATGTAATTACTAACAATTGAGTTTGAACCTGACTTTGAAGTATTGTCAAATATGAGCTCATTCTCATGCAGTAACAAGAATGAGATAGACTAGACTTAGAAAAAAATATTTTCTCTTAAAGGTATTTTAGGATAGAGGTGTTATATTGATCATAGGTTTGTGGTTCTTATAAAAACAACACCTGGATTGATATGCTTCACACGTTATAAAACTCAGACCTTTAAATTGTACCCTTCAATGGCAGTTTGTTCTCAGTGTTACACACTCAGCACCACTCAAAGAGCCCAATAGCAAAGAGCCCAACAGCAGTCACTCCTCTAGGATTGTATAATTTTACATTTTGATCAGTACACTCTCCCCCTAAAAATTAATTTGAGTGATACCATTATTTCTGACCTTCTAGGACTTCAAATATTGTTCTTACACAATTCTGTTTGCTCTCTTGAAGTTCCTGATTTTCTTTTCTTTTCATTTAATGATTGTATTTCTCTCCTTAGTTATTTGCAAATATTCCTGTTACTGAATTGATTCAACTTGTATGCTTTGCATTTCGGTGATTTATTTGGAGACAGATGTCATTTCCTGGATAGTTGAAATCTGTCTTCTTTTAGAATCAATAATGTACAGGACTGGTGACTTTGTGAAAGCTTTGGCCATCATTGCTCTAATTTCCTGCCTCATAACTAGAATGTCTCATTTATTGGTGTTATTACTATATGGGAATAGAGGCTAATTAATTTCCAAGGTACTTATTCAAAACAAACCTTAAGAGTTCAGCTTTATAATTATGATTTTTTTTGCCCGAATAAAAGCAAAACAGAGAAAAAGAGCAATAGGTAAATGTTACAGATAAATAGGAAAAAAATCAATAAAATTCTATCACGGGCAGATACAAGGCATCTCAATATCTCTTTTGTATATTACAAAGAAAATCAACAACTGGTCATACAGGAGCTTTCCTACTCCACTGGAAAAATGATTAACATCTACTTTGGGGGAGCTCATCCAACCCAATAACTACAGTTATGTCATTTTCACTGAAGAAGCAAGTGTTGATAGAGTTCTAACAATGATATCCCACCAACCCACGGAACTTATATAAACAATTTTTTAAAAAGAAACAGATCATTGAAAATCGAACTTTTCTTTAATATTCAGGTGTTTATTTGCCAAACTAAAATGAACATTTCATTTTTTTTCTAAGGTCTTAATCAAGGCATCTTTTCAAATACAAAGATAAACATTGGCTTCTATGCAACTCACAAGATTTCTGCATATAGAATTCGATATCGTGGTTCTTACTGTCACACCTGTCTTTACTATTCTAGTTTCTATTACTGTTTATTTTATTCCATGTAACCTTACCAATTCCTTGTTCACTTTGTGAACAGTTTGTGATGTACCTTTTAATTTTTGTTCTTGTTTTTTTTGTTTTGCTGGCTAATATCTCCTTCCTGTATGTTATGGTAGGTTTTAAAAATAAAATGTATGCAATCCACAGTCAAATATAAACTGGAATTAATCAGAATTCAAAGAGATATAGGCCATTTTCAGTAAATTCAATCTAGTAATCTTTTATTTTGGAAGTTCTTTAGAGTTGTTTTTAGAACTTCATGATTCTTAAACTTACTCTGTTTCAACCAAACAGAGCACACAACAAAACAATTTAATATATATCACAATGGGTCATATAAGATTTTTTTCACCTTTTTACTCCTCTGTATATATTTAATTGCTTTATTATAGTATAAGGAGTTGTTAGTTCAGAAAACTTTCATAATAATAATAGCTTGCCCTTACTAAAAATAGAGAATTATATCAACAATAGAAAATGGCTTTAGAGATAAAATTATTTTCCTAGGTTTGAATAAATATTATTTTGATACAGATAGAGATGCGATCATATTTCATCTGGCTGATAGATTATGATGTGTTTTTCTATGAAGTGTTATTAAGCTGTTGAATTTATTATGTACCGTGCACACACACACACACACACACACACACAGCATACATAATTTGATCTTGAAATGTTGCTTCATTTGCCATCAATTTACAATGCTTATAGAAGAGTCATTATTTCTGTCTTTTAAAACAAAACATTTTTATTTATCTCACATATACTTGGTAGTTATAACAATATTTGGCTACAATAACCTTATATTTGAAAGACTAATCAAATAACCAAATGTCCCTTTTTAAACCAATACTGGATCTCATGTTTGAATTGCACTATTAATAATGAGAATTTATTTCCATTTATCTGCTTTTATGTCTTTTCCCAAGCTCCAGTCTTTTATTCATGTCCACACTTAATGAAGCTACTCAATAGAATACTGTCAGAAGATGAGTATAGAAGTCTGACATTGACTTTGCAATTCAATCAGAACTGTTTGGAAATAGAGTCCTGCACATTCTGATTTTATTACCTGAAGCTAATCAGTTCATTCAAACTTTATTGCCTTGATATTACCACAAAATGCAAAGTGTTTTAACAGTTAAGTTTTTAATAGAAAAAAAATCACATTAATGGTTTATAGCATTTTCTGAGTCTCATGCATACAAGTGAAAAGGCTGTGGGCAATATTATGAGTGGATCAGGAGATGGGGTGAGATTTGGGTACCAGGAAGAAGAAGATCATTGGAGAAAAACAAAAACAAAAAATAACCCACAAAACAGAGGATTGCCTAAGAGATAAAATCCAGGCTAGCAAATTATTGATAAGGGCTTGCTCAAAGACATGGATTAAATCTTGAAC